CCATAGTCGTTGGGATCGGAAGGGGGAACGGTATCGGGATCAAATCGAGAGCAGGGGATCGTGAAATGCTAGAAGATCATTATGGTTGGGAATGCCGTCCGTACAATGCACATGTTAGGGTTTGAAATATCTAAATATTAAGGATCGAGATTCCAACCTTTTGAGGATTTTTTTCCCGACCTTTTGGGATCTCGATCACAACTTTTTAGGGATCTTGCTACCAACCTTAAAGTGTATAATAATCTGGGATTATGTATAACCTGTAAAACAGTGATCTCATTATTGAAAGCAAGAAAGCAATGCAAGTCTATTAGTTGTGTTGTTAGATGGTTATAAACAAAGAAAATCATTAGTTTGGTTGTTGTCTTGGTCTTTAAGGTTGAGATTGAGATCCCTAACAGTAGGAATCGACCCTATCAGTAGGGATTGAGATCCAAAAATTTAACAATCGAAATCCTTGAGAGATCCGTTCCAGGAACAAAATGGAGATCCTAGAAGAGATCGCCTACTAAAGTACGAGATCCCGGTAAGACCCTAACATAATCCTTTATTTATTCAGAGGGAAAATAAATTTACTTATTGTTTTCTAAAAGTCATTTCATTGTTTTTAAAATTATTAGAACATATGGGGGTCCATTATACTTCATGAGCCCTACCTATCTTGCATTTTTGAGGAGTGTGTTGGGCCCACAAGTGCCCAATGGGTGGCACACCCCGCCTCTTTCATTCTCCTTCCTATTGTGTTGGTTTGTGCAAGAAGCTACTCAATTGATTGAAACAAAATTGGAAGGTTTTGTAATAAGGCTACTTGACTTTTTAAAAGAAGCATGTGTAGAAATTTAATGAAAATAAAAGGCAAGTGTATTATGTTTCCCCTACATTACATATTTGATGAGATTAGGTTAAGGAAGCTAAAGGATAAGGTTCTAGCACGTTGTATAAGATCATGATGACTGATCTCTGGATTATAAGGCTAAGATCTTTCACCCCACAAATCTCTTTTGATCAATGGTCTAGATCAAATCTCCATATGGATGGCTAAACCTTAGGAATCCTGACCCTAATCATAAGTGTATAAAAGACTTTGGGGGTTTCTTTTCTCTATGTACCACAAGACATCTTTCTCTCTCCTCAAATGTGGCACACCACCCTCTCTCATCTCTCTAGCCTCATCTCTATCTCTCACACACTTAAAAAAATATTAAAGAAAGAAAAGAGGGGGCATGCCCCAACCATTTTCTGAGCCTTAGAGGCACACCCCATACACATTAGATCAAGGGCCAAGGCACTGGTTTGTTCAATTGCTCTCATATCTCTTAAGGGTTTCTAGCGAATGCTTCTCATAGTTGTGAGATCTAAGAAAGACTGTCACTTTGATCCCGTGCACCATGGGTGAAGGAGACCTGGAGTTAAGTCCAATTGAGGGAATCTTTGACATCTTTTACTTTACTGCAATCTATGTTTCTTGTTCCCAAGTTAATGATTATGAAATATTTGTTTATGAAATAAAGAGCTGTTAAAGTGGCGGCAATTGAGAATCCATTTTTGAGTTTTATTTATTTATTTGAGTTCATATTGTAATCTTTGGACTTATGTAAGTGTTCTAGCTGGTTTGGAAAAGGAAAACTTTTAAACTGCATAAACCGTGCTAGTTCACATTATCCACTTTCAAATCCTAACCACCTTATTTTTCCGGGTTTGGGAGAAGCTCATCCTTGAGCTTAAGGAAATTCTTTCCTGGTCTTCTCCATTGTGCTCCAACTAAATCTCCACTTCTTTTCTATTGAACTTTCGTTTGTTGAACTTAATCCAACAAAGTTGTAATGTGCTAATGAAGTCACTATCTTGGGAAGTCAATTGCAATGCCAAAATCTGTTGCGCTCTCCGTCGGTAGTATTTTATTCCTTACAACCAGTCCAACTTCTAAAATGCATTGTGGTTGAATAATTGCTTGGATTGATGGTCAATTTTTTATCTTTCACTGCATCATATTCTTGGTCCGCTACAACAAGATAGATAGAACCAATGTTAAAAAAAAAGGCTGATCAGGGCGATCCGGATCGGGTATCAGTTGGACCGTTTCGGATCGAGTCATAAAACGGGATTCGGCTGTCTGCACAGTAAATCGGAAACTTGAGGTCACAACTCACCGAGTCTGTTGATATGACGTCACAACTCACTGAGTGTGTTGGTTGTGACATCATCAAACCGAGTACTGACTTCGTCATACTTTTTTTAAAGTGTGGAGGGCATTTTTGTAATTTTCATTAAAAATGGAGGTAATCACATGGCCACATGTGTCTCTCTCAACCATGGCCCCTTATGTGCCTCATGCTCCATCATTCTTTTCAACCACCCCTAGTGCCACGTGCCCCACCATGCTCCATCTTTTCACACGCCCCTAGTGCCACGTGCCCGTGCTCCATCATGCTTTTGAAGCACACATTTGAAGGTGGTACTGAAGAGGCTTTTATTCACATCAAACTTATGCTATTTTTTGGATGTGGGACATTTCATCCCATTCAATGGTCTAATTATATTTTTTACCTAGGAATTGGACATTTCATCCCATTCAATGGTCTAATTAAAAGATGGAGTATGGGCACACATCATTGGACCGTTGGACATTTCATCCTATTCAATAGTCTATTTTTTTGATGTAGGACATCTCATCCCATTCTATTTTTTACCTAGGAATAAATGGTCTAATTATATTTTCTATTTTTATAACATGATGGTCTTTAACATAAATTTAGGAAATATTAATTTAAAGATAGGGTTCATACAATGAGGCCATTTGAAATCTCTCTCTCTCTCGCTCTACTATCAATCTCTTCCACGAAATTTATTCTAGAAACTTAAAAAATTAGATTTTTGAAATATTAAATTGTTATATCGAAAATTGGTACGCATTCTAATAATTTCTATATTGATAACCAAATCCTGTATTTCATTTATTAATTTATTTGCATTATAAATTATGTAATGTACTATTTTTTTCTTATAGTTGTCAATAATATATTTTAAATTAGATGATATTATAAAATACTTCATGCATGATAATTCTATGATTCTTCTTTTGTGTGATGTAAATTTAATGGTTAATATAAGTTCATACAGGGAAAGAACATCGCAATATTCGCATATTGATGAAAAAAAATGGAAGTCAATAATGTAGTATCCCCATTTTTTATTGGATTCCTAAAAAAAATATTTATAATGATTTTTAATAATTTTATTGGATTTTTTTAATTGTCGAATCTGACCGATTCGGCCGATTCCCGATCCGAACCGCCGATTCACCGATTCAGATGGGTTTTTGGGATCCGGGGCATCGATCCGTTTTTTAAACCACTGGATAGAACTTGTAGTACTTGTTGCACTATTTTGCTTAGGTGTTCTTCAAAATTTGGATCCATTGCTGTTTTGGATGGCTTTATAATTTATGGATCTCAAGGCACGGATCTCAAGGCTTTGATACTTAATGTGGGGTGAAGGGAGAACTAAAATAAATTGTTAACCTGATAAATAAAATTAAAAAACTGGTTTGAGAATAATACCATCTCTCTAGGTCTGTAAGGGAGTTCATTCCAAAACATTTTCTTTATAAGACCCAAAATCCATTCTTCTCTCTCTCTCTCTCTCTCTCTCCTTTCTTTTTTCTTGTCCAACACTTCCATATTTATAAAAAAACCCCCTAAAATGTAACTTTCTCTTTAATGAACCCTAATCACAATTAAATCTTAACCCTTTATCTATTTGAAAGTTAAACTTCTAATTCAACCTGAATTCTCTAAAACAAAACAGAAAAATACCCTAAGATATAAAAAATGAAAGACTAAATAATCCCAATATCTTAAAAAAATAAAATGAAAAAATAGAAATCTGATTACATCATTGTGATTTGGCCTAGTCAGGTTGTCTGACTTGCTGAGTTGGCATCTGACTTGGGCTTGGCACCGTGGCAAGTCAGAGCCCAAGCCTGGGTTTTTAAATGCTGATATCAAAAGAAGTTTATGCCTTGGCATGTGATGTGATTATAGTTCGTAAATGTAATTGATCATCTCTTGTATCAGTCAACTTTATATTGTAAAGTGTGATTGATATGACTGTGAATATGAATGATATTCTTTTCGTTCTATAAGGGAATCAAATATTTTCATGGGAAAAATACTTTCATGTCTTAAATATGGAAACCTTATTAACTTTCTTGAGAATTTATTTGAATTCCACTTTGTGTTAGTTCATGGCTTTTGGCTTTGAGAATCAAGAGTTGGCATTAGTTTCAAACATGTTAGGAAACACGACCCGGGAACGGAGCTCGGCCATGGGTTGGGTCTGGGTAACCAGCCCTAACCGAGCAGGTCTCGGCCGTGCAAAAAAGAGTTCAAAGAATTTAAAAAAATATCAAAAAATCCCCCAAAAATGAAAAGTTTGTTTAAAGTGTAATTTAACATCCAAAATGTGATTTAAAAAGTTGGGAAAAAATGGATTTTGAAAAATCAATTTGTGGCTAGAGGTATTTTAGAAATAATCCAAAAAAAGAAGGGACAATGTAAAAATAAGTATTTATGGCCAAAATACTTCCTAATCTTTTCCAAAACAATAGAAATTATTAAAGAACTTATTACAAACTAATTTCTTGTTTTTTGGATTTCTTATAATTTTTTTGAATTTATTTTTAAGTTCCTGGCTTGACCATCCTAACAGGTCAAAACCAGCCACGGCCAGTGACCAGTTCGGGGTAAGCTGGCAAGGTCTAGTCATCCCGGACGGTTTGGCGAACGGTTACTTTCAAAAGATTTGTTTAACATGGAGATCTTGGGAATAAATGATTTCCATATTCCGCAAAAATGTATCTAATTGGGATTTTATGATGAGATCTGCAAATTGCAATCCACGTTTTGTATTACTTTTGCTTTTAAATAGTCAATTTTGGAAGCATCATGGAAAGTTGAATTCTTTGGAATTGACTATCTATTTTCTTGTATATTTTGTAGGTGAGTGCATCTGATTGGCGCAATGGATCATTGGTGAAGCAAAAATTTGGTGAGGCTGTGGAATCTCATAGATTGCATAAAAGGTTTGTGGCACGATCTTCTTTCTCCAACTTTATGGGAATTTGTTATTTTCATGTGTGTATCCTTTATTTAAAAAGGATATATTTATCTCACCAACTCACACTTGAGGAAGTTAACCAATATTTCTTCTTGGAGAAATTATTTGTACTACAAGAAAGTTTTGGTAAACATAGAGGTCTACAGTTGACAAGAAAAGAAATAACCCTATCACAGAAAGGGACTAACTTGAGTCATGTGAATTGTTATTACTCCCTTATTGGAGTAATCTTCGATAGACTCTTATATTGACTGGGCGAGTAAATTAGTTGATCTCTCTTGGGAGTTATCCAGAATAGCTCTTCTATAGAAATATGAAGACATCCTGGAAATTGTTGCACAAAGAAATGTGAAGGAATATTTGTATGAGTGATATTATGTTGTTAGTGCGCATTGCCGTTAGTTTTAATAATGCTAACATAGCCAGGTGAACTGACAGTTTTATGGTTATCTTGTTTCAATTCCTTGCATTTCATTTCTTCAGTGAAAAGCATTCTGTAACTACAGTTGCTCATTCATCTTCAGGTCAGTTGAGGATCTTAGATATTCACCAAACAAGCTTAGGACAAGTTCCTCCCAGGACATATTAAGAAACGATGGGAATGGTGCACCAAAGGTTGAAGCAAAGGTGCATGAGTTCAAAACCGGTATGGATGCAACCAGGAATGAAATGGAAGGGCCAGAAGAAAATAGAGAGATTAGAAGCTCTAGTGGTCAAACCGGTAAGAAATCTTTGATTCTCTTCGAGGATGTCGATACAATTTTCAATGAAGACCGTGGGTTTCTAGCTGCTATATTGCAACTTGCTGAGACAGCGAAGCGGCCGATAATACTCACTAGTAACAGTAAGTTTCTTCACCAGATGGTTGGTGTTGCATTTTACCTGAAACCCTTGTTCGCCAATTGAGTTTATTACTTTGCAGGGAAGGATCCTCATCTACCGCTCCTCTTGAATAAATTGACAATTAATTTCATGCTCCCATCCCTGGTGGAGCTGCTTTGCCATGTGTATATGGTATGGAACTTACTGTAACTCTTTCAATTGGTTTCATTACGTCGACTACTTATGCTATATAATGATTCTAAGGGAGACTTTCCTTCTCTCTAGATCTGTGTTGCAGAAGGTGCAAAAGTCTTACCTCACTTGATAAATCATTCAATCAGATGCTGTCATGGTGATATCAGGGGAACAATCATGCTCCTGCAGTTTTGGTGCCAGGGGAAGAAATCCTTTCAATATGGTATATATATGTGAAATTTTTGAATAGAAAACTCTTCTTGAATTCATCACCTATTGTTCTTGATATTCAACTTGTATTGTGCCTTGCAAAGTGATGTTATTTATTTCAAAGGTTCAATAGCTTACTTCTTTTATGTAGAGAATGGTACAATTGTCCTTGACTTCTCACCAGTCTCTATACTCTTGTGCAGAAAGGATGTTGACATCTACGTATAGGCCGCTACCTTTTGATCTTGATGCTGGGTATCATATACTGCCGAAAGTGATACCTTGGGGTTTTCCTTGTCCATTGTCTACAATGGTTCATGAGGAAATTTCCCATACACTGTCTCTGGTCAAAGAAAATGTATGGAATATAGAAGAGGTCTTGGCAATTAAGGTTACCCTCAAAGGGAAACTTAATGCTTCAGTGAATTTCAGTGATGAGAAAGAGGTTATAGATGCCAAAAAGGAGGTGCTGTTGAACAGGAATTTCTCTGACAATGAAGGTAATGAGCTGTTTTCAACTCAGTCTGATGATTTTGATGGATTGTCTAAAGCTGTAGGCACCCCTACCAAGTCTATTCAACTGCCTCGTGATTGTAGACGTCGAGCTATGGTGACTTCTGACTCCGAAGATGGTTCGCTTTCTGATCAACCTCCTCTGGAAACACCAAAGAGGGATACATGCAATGAATGGGTTCAAGATCCATTCAATGGGTCATTTTCTAGAAGGTCAGCTTTAGGTATTGGCACTCTGTCATCTCCTGATTCAAAGCAGAACCAGAAAACAGATAAATTTGATCCAAGGAGGTTGAAAAGGTTAAAGAGAGTAAGGGATTTAGATATGTGCACCCTCACTGCATCAAAAGAGATATCTTGTTTCCCAGAATCGTCATTCATTCTTGGGGCAAGAATTGACAATGTGGATGATTCACTTTGTTCTCCAAGTGTAGCTGTTACCTTGGAAGGAATTTCCCATTGCCTAGAGGAGCTTGAAAACCTTCAAGAGACAAATAATCCAGATAATTACGAAATAGAACTGGATAGGGTTTCTGAAACTGTGTTCGGAGATACTTGTGAGGCAGCCATTAATTCAGTCACTAGCAATGCGGTGCTAGACAAATCCAAAATGGAACCAATAGAAACCATAAATGGAGCATATCCATTGATGGATGAATGCAGCCGTGTAGATTTTAACATATGTAATATGGCCAGAGATTCTAGCCATCCAGATGCTACACTTTCAGTCCTGGAGACATGGAAGAAATTACGAAGCCACAAGGAGGATCTTAAATCGCATCTATCCTCAGAAGTACAAGCCCTTTCAAGAGTAATAGATTCCACCCTTGAACTTATTGACCTCTTTTCTGCAACCGATGTCCTGCTGACTACGTGCCAATTGGTCTGCAGTGTAAGAATGCTCCTATTTAGTTCTGGTGAAGATCTCTTTAGAGTTTTTATGAAAATGTATAGATATCTTATGGTGTAGCTGGCTCGCAATTGTGCAGGATTTTTTGACACCATGTGAGGAACTGGATATTATGTCTTGGTATGATCAGAGGTTGGAGATGGCATCTACACTTTCTCACCATGGCATCTGCTTTTATGCAAAGGAGTCTGCTGTGATGGGTTCTGAACTGGGTTATGAAACGAAAACAGATTTGGCTTCTGAAATGTTGGCTGCCAGCTCTGACACGGCAGCTTTTGGGAAGCTGATAACTCGGCAGACAATCAATACGTCTGCTGAAAGAGATCCATCCATCCAGGCATCAAAAATGGACATTTTAAGTGAAAGGTAGGATCCTCACGTGGCCCTAGCAAGTCTAGCATGTTCTAGAATCTGAAATTTGTGATAGTCTGAATTATTTCAGTGGCTTGTATTATTCTGTTGTATTTGTAAGTTGCTAATAATGTCTTTGACTTGTATTAGTGGTTTCCAGATTTCAATTTCTTAGTTAGTCACAAGTAGCAATCAACATCTTGCCTGATTTCACAAAAGCATAGGGTCTGATGTTCTTGTGTTTTCAATTGTAATTTTTTGTAATTATTAAGCATCCTCTCAACTGTTATCTTATTCATACCTGGAAGTACTAAATAACTAGTATTAGAGGAATTTTGAATTCATACACACATACACTCTTACTCAAAAAAAAAAAAATATTCACACACACACACACTCGTTCACTCTTATGGGTTCCTCTCCTTGGTTATTTCCCTCCATGAACTGTTTTGCTTTCCAATTTTGTGAAATTTCTCGTTAGTGGAATAAGTTTAGGACTCTCAGTGTCTATGTCTATGCATATTCAGAAAGCCTATCTCTATCTCTCACTCCAACCAAATCCTAGATTCTCTCTCTCAAAGGTTTACTAAAGTAAGACTCCCATGTCAAGTCTTCCCTAAATCTTATCTCCCTGTCTCTCTCCTCTAATATCTCTCTCCTGCCACTATTTCTCACTAGGATATAATCTCATTAAGATAGATACATTTCTTGACTACAGGAAAAAGGAAATCTTTACTAGGAAGAACTTAAAAGATTGATAAACTCGAAGAAAGAAGGAAATATAGAAAATTGAGTAGAAAGGAAAATTAGGTAGGAGAATAAGAATGTACAAAAATAATATTGAATGACTTAAAAATAAAATAAAATTGTATACTATAATAATTCATATGAATTAAGTATTTAGAAATTATCTTCCCTTTAATTTTTTATCTGTCAAACGTGAATTGCTACTCATGTGCTCATTAGCTACTCTCTCTCTCCCTCTAATTAGTGTGTGTGTGTGTCTCTGTATTTTATATATTAAGCAAGGATATGCCAAACCCTTAATCTATTCTATATATTAAGCAAGTGTCCTTTTGAATACTGATTTGGCCCTTCTGATTCTTACAATTTAGATTTTTTCATGTATATCTCTTTTCTCATTTTCTGGGAAAGAAAATTTTCTCTTTTCCCATTTGTTAAGAAACTGAGGAATTTTTATATTGGAACGTTTAGATTAGATCAACAACATAGTGAATATTCTATCTTATCTTATAGAAATATAGCATAGAAAGCCTACATATTATAACTTATTAGAAACATTAGGATTTTCTATAAAGGAAGTTTGGATTAAAACTATCAACCATAGAAATGACGTTAACAGATATAAAAAAATAAAAAAAAATCAACAACTAAGGTGCATAACCCACAAAATTTGAGGTTAATCAAGTTTCTATAAAAGTTGTTATAATTCAATTACTACCAAACAATTGTGACCATTTGATGAACTTTGGACGCTGATGAGCCATGAGTGAGCTGATGAGCCATGAGTGAAGTACTATAGAACTTCACTCATGAGTGTTTTTGAAGTGTTTTCCATATATATATATATATATATGGAAAATGAATAGTATTTCGCCCCTCCACGGAATTGCTATGCCTGTGGTGGTTGTTGATAGGACCCGCAATGGACGACGCAATGTCCGTGGCGGTCGTTTTGCCCCGCTTCGTGAATTTTTGACTGTCACAGACCTAGCATGTCTGTGACGGTACTGCCATGGACATGCTAGGTCCGTGGCGGTCGTTTTATCCACACCGTCCGATTTTTTCCGATGGTGATGACCCTATAGGCGAAATCGCTGTAGCATTTCGCCTATAGGTGTTGCATAGTCTCTTCCTATGTATGTATGTATAAGTATATATAATATATTTATATATAGAGACACACTTGCATGGATTCAATTTTAGTACTAATTTTCAGAGTTACGTCTTGTTCTTTTGAACTGTTACTAGCATACATTTTCTCAGGCACATCAGTCTTATTCATTTTTAATTTTCTATATTAACTGATTTAGCATTGTCATTGCGTAATTGTGATGTCACAAGTGAATCACCTAACTTTGTCACTGAAACTAAATACTCAACCATTTGGATGTAACTATCATATTAATATTGCATTCATATGACCATGTGAAGAATTTTCTATTAATCTCCTTTACCTCTGAGCGTATCACAACTTGATGCATTGTGCTTACATTATTTGTTTGCAGAGAGAGTCTACAATCTAGGCTTTCAGATTGCTTGCTGTCTTTAGTTCCTGCAAGAACTATTTTGTCAGTGAAAGGTGCACAATTTCACGAGTACTCATCCTTTTTGGGCCAAATTGCCAACTCTGAGGTTGCCCGTCTGTCTCAGGGGAATTTCAAAAGACGCAGGTATTTTATTAAAACTTACTTATGTTTTGCCAGTTTAACCGGTAAGTAGGGAGTGAGGCAAACTGTATTGTACAAGTCACAATGCATCTGACAGGTGATCATTTTAAAAAAGAAGCATTGGCTAATGAGATTGGTTTTGATTGCAGTGCTCGCCGTTCTCGCAACTACTTGACAACCAGACCATACAAGTTGTCGTCAGAAGATGTGCACTTGCTAGCCCAGTATGGCGGCTTTGGGAAAGTCAAAGGGCTTTCCATAGAGCGAGGTGTTACGACATGAGGATCTTTAAGTTCCTCTCCATGCAAAGCGTTCATAATTGTCCTGTCTGATGCTGAGATCTTTCTGACGAAATTTGTCTAGCGAAGGCAAAAAAACATGGTTGCCTTAAGGAGCTCCTTGCCATCTATCTATTCTTCCCCCTGAAGCTTATTGGAAGTTTTAGTCCTCAGCTTCATGTAAGGATGTTACATTTATCTAATTTACCTCCTGGATGGAAAGTGAATCAGATGGGGCTTTTACAGCATTTTATTTATATTATAATCTTTCTTCTGTCATGTGATATTCAAATGTTATAAAGAGAATGCTTAACATGTATAGTGCGTTCATGTTTTATTTTTAGAGTCACCAATTTTGGATTAAATTGGGATGAAAAACTAATTTTTCTTTATTTTGCCTCGCATTTACCTGCGAACCGAAAAGTTGACCAGCCATTTTCATTTTTAGCATCAACCATTGAAGGACACGCAAAGTTATTTAGAAGCGCCGGGGCCTAAGGCAGCGGGGTTTGCATCGGTTGTCACTGCACTGTTCTGACCATGCTTGGATGACAATGACTTTATAGGTGGAGTTTGCATTTGTAACAATTGTGGATAATTGTTCTCTGGAGGATGTCTTTTTGCTTAGACAAAGGGGTTGGTGGGCCTGAGTGACCTTGGGCTTTTGTATTTTTTTTGGGTGAGTCAGTGGGTAGAGGCCCCTACCCTAGTAAAGAGGAAAGCGATGAGCGCCCAACAGTAATGAGAGGCAAAAATGAACGGCTCCTTTGACATTTTGTGTTGGAAAGAGATTATTGGTTTGCAATCGTTAATGCCAACAGGATATACACATTTTACTGTCAAAGCAAGATCCTGTCAAAACTGGATATATCCTCTCAATAGCAATTGATAACCTTTACGATTTATTGGTTCTGATATATAAGTGGTAATTCTGATAGGTAAGTGAACCTCTCAAACATGTCAATCAATACCAAAACAACAAACCCAACATGCAAGACAGCTTCGATAGGGTACACTTTTAGGACAAACTTATATTAAAATCATTAGAACGCAGTAATTTTATACGAAATTTAAATATAAGTGACTAATGCATCCAAAATTTTCATCGAGTATGAATTCTGAATTATT